CCCCCCCCCCACTAAACATAAGCTTTGCAAACTTGACTTAAATTCGATTTAATATTAATATAAATTATGAAAATAGTGAGGGTTGTCACAATGTAGGTCCTGTCGTCACAAGTCAGTATAAAGTTAAACACAGACTTAAATACCTAGTCAACACTTGCACACTGACCTACACACACAGGTACACCTATACAACAGAGTCAACACAGGACATACACACCCTATGATATAATAATCCCTTTCAACAATGTGCTTTCTAAATGGGTTCTACCATTCCTAACTGCATGCATGAAAGAGGGGATAATGTTACAGTTGTCTGAGGGACGTTATAAACATGTTCGTAATTAGCCAGTTCAGATTGCAATAATATTTTCAAGAAACCAATTAGTTTTGAATGAATATAGGAAGATGTTTGTATATCTATATTTTAAAACTATTGTAATTTCTTGGGTTAGAATTTGCAAATACAGGGGAGACAGCATTTGTAGTTGGCTTTACTATGCTTGGGTCATTTTTTTAAGTGTGAATTTCAAGCGGTTTATTTTCAACAGTTTATATAGATCAGGCGAAATTTTGTTGCTATTTATACCCAAAAAAAAATGCTGTATAACGTACAACTTAATTAAAGCTGGACAGTAGTGTTGAGTAAAAATGTGATGAACTCTGTATTATTGATATTAATGTTATTTGAATTCTCCACATGTACTATGAATGTGGATCACTGATTATTATTAATAAAAGCCAGCTATATTGGATTAACAGTAGTTTTGTTCCTTTCACCTAGTGCTTTGTGTCAAAGTGATCATATGATTTGTAGATTTTACTGATTTGATTCAAACTGTGTAAAATATATTGCATTACAGCATTTTGTCGGAGCTCTACGGCTCGAGCCAGAATAAATAGCTGTGTATATGCATTGGGGCCCAACTATGCGAACCCAAATCATGCCCTCAATTGTCTTCAAGTAACCTCTCATTTAAATTATGACAGAGACAACATCGTTTGTAATTTCACGCAATTCCCGGCTTGACAAAGAGGTACGTACCCTAATATCTATTTGGCAGAGTAAAGAAATACTGCGATAGATTGATAGCTTAACGAGAAACAGAAAAATGGCGTACGAAATTATGCGACAAAAACTTGAAAGAACGACTGAACAGATCCAATGGAAATTGAAAAAACTTTTTTAAAAACACCAAAGATAAAAATCATAGAAGCGGTCAGTGTACAGTGACATGTTCTTAGTAGGTTTAGATTGACAACTGTTACACATATAACAGTTGAACAATTACAGAATAGTAATTTTGCATGACAATCACCTAAGCGAATAGGCTGTAACACATTTTAGCTGCCGTGTTTTTTCTGTGTATTCAAGCATGGATTCAAGATACTGGTACCTAAATCAAAACACCAGTGCATTGTCTTTTCTATCTCCATGCTCAGACACGTGACTGTTTCTTTTTTTTCTCCCAGCTCAACAGCCGTGTAAAGAAACAACACAAGCACTACACCAAACTTGTTTTCAGCCATGTTTTATTTTCATACTAATTATTTGAGGGCACTGTTCCGTTCGGCTCTAATCAAACTGAATTGAACTCTGGCAGATCTTGTCTCTCGTTCGACCTTTTACCGTGTAAACGCATTGCAGATAATCTCCTGTTTATA